ATATATATATATATATATATATATATATATATATATATATATATATATATATATATATATATATGTATGTATATATATATATATGTATATATATATATATATATATATATATATATATATATATATATATATATATATATATATATATATATATATATATATTGTATATATATATATATATATATATATATATATATATATATATATATATATTTATATATGAATCCGCACATGCTGGTGTTAATAAAACGGTAATACAACTAATATATACTAATCCATAATCTGGTGTAAAAAAAAAATCGATAAGCTTTCGTCTCTTTGGATATTGCTTTCCTCTGAATATAATCAAATATTGATTTCTGTTCGATGAGAGGTGGAAAATGCTAACTATTATCAACACTGTAATATGGGGTGTCAATCGAAATCATTAAAGAAGGCAGAATTGCTGACACAGCTTTCTAATAAGCGTTCGATGCAGTCTGCGAATATTAGGGGGCCTTTTAGATGGTAAACTTTCGTATTTCACTGAATATGATTTTATTTTTTGCAGGATAAAATTATTGATCAAAATATGTTTGCAGAGATGTCGTCTTCTGTAGATATTGTCCTGGTGGCGTCCTGAGTATGATGATCAACTACATCCGCGTCATGGGTATGACGATAAACTACGTCAAACAGCAAGGCCTCTGATAATTCGTTTTTGAAAAAATAATGCTGCCAGCTGTACGTTTTTGAAAAAAAAAATATTATCAGCTATACGTTTTTGAAAAATAATATTACCAGCTATAGGTTTTTGAAAAAATAATATTACCAGATATAGGTTTTTGAAAAAATAATATTATCAGATATACATTATGAGAAAAAAATATTAACAAAAATGGATTTTTGACAAAACAAAAATATTACCAGGAAAAAAAAAAAGTTGTCGGCATTAAATGACCCATTGAGGTTGATATGCCGTAAAACAAAACAAATTCTCCTGATGGACCAGGCTTATTATTCATAAAGATTTGCTGCAAGCGTCTGTATTTAAAGAGTAAATTCCTAAACTTTTTCCAGCGCAAACAAGGCATTCATTAGACGATGAGCCTGAATTTAGAGACAAAAGCCTCGTTACCACTCACGCTGGCATTATCTTACGATGCAGCCTGTAATAGAAGGTTTCCAATTTTGCAGATTCACTTGTCAGATATTCGTAATTTTAAATTTGTTGACGCTTCCATGACGTTTTTTGTATTTCATTTCATCCTATTTTCTAAAAGGCATGTTATTTCAAAAAACGCAGTTCCTTACTTTGGTCAGACACACACAAATATTCATAAGCGGTAAACCCTTTCTCCAGTTGCGCCAGAAATATGATGGAAGTATTTCCGTCAGTTCACGTTATCATGGGTCGATGCATCCCCACCTTTAGCCTATTGGTTTCTGGAAGATTGGTGATTTTATAGTCACCATCTCTAGAATGGTTACCAACCAAGTCTATGGAACTCAGTTTGCTACTTAACCTATAGCCAGGTGATTTTTGAGTTGGATGCATCCCTTTCCAAAGTGAATTTGCGCTGAATGTGAATATAACCAAATCAGCAGGAATTCGAACTCGGCTCTCCGAAATCTCTTTTTGTTTGTTTATTTCTTTAACGCCATATCCACTCTTAATGGGTCATAAAATGCCGAAATTTATTTCCCTTGGGAGCTAGTGTAATTTATTCTTTTTACAAAAATCTATTGCTGGTATTTTATTTCTTTATTTGAATCCTATACTTTCAGTTTTGTAACACTAGTTTGAGAGTCTACTATTTGCCCATAGCTGTGATCCTGACAGGTGCTACCATTCTGGGTCAGGGTTGACCTGGGAACAACAGCAATAAAGAGGTGGGTCAACGCTCCTCAAAACCTTCTGATTAGACGTCTTGCAGCTGGATGTAGTTTATCGTAATACACGGGAAGAGAATTCGTATACACCTGTGTAATCACATATGTATTGTTTTTCTTAATTTATTTTTAATATTTACTATTATTTTTATCTATGTTCTTCTTCTTTGACCCGTTCTTACTAAACCGGTATCAAAACCATTGTGAGATACAAAACAATGTATAAAAAAACAACTTAATATATATCGTATATTTTCGCGTTTAAGACGACCTTTAAACTTCAAGAATCCCACTTAGAAACTGTGGGACTTTTCATACTGCAATTTCTAAAAAGAAAACCTTAAAATCTGAGTGATATTTGTCGGAGGCTAAACTGATAATAAAAGTAATAAAACTATTTTACCTTATATATTACTGGCATAACTTCATAATAAAATACCTATTCGAAGAATAATTTCATATCAGCAAAATCAACTTGTATCTATGCAAGCTCAGCTGAGAAAATGTAAACATCGAGTTGTGATTGCGTTCACACTAAGGGAAGGTACTATTATCGCACATTATTGTACTACTATTAGAGGTATTTTGTGATTGTCGCTGAAGTATAAGTAAATGGTCATAAGTAACCAGGCTGTTTGTAACTGTTTAGATAAAGAAGAAGAAGAAGAAGAAGAAGAAGGAGAAGAAGAATCAGTATTCGCAAGAGATCACGTGATGAAACGTTAACAAAACAATGTTTTCCCTTTTAAGAGACGTGTGTAAGAATGACTTGATATAGAATCGGTTGTGTTATTTTGAATTTCTAAGGATACAGTAAGTACCGACATTTCCAATAGCAGCACCTTTATATAACACTAAGCAGTCGTCTTATACTACAGGTATAGGATAAATTCATGAAAATTTGCTATATTCTTTGACATCGTTTTATCTAAAAGTCGCCTTATTAAGTCAACATTTTGGCTGTCGAACTTTGCTTATATAGATAGATAAATAGAGAGAGAGAGAGAGAGAGAGAGAGAGAGAGAGAGAGAGAGACATAAAAAGGGCAGGGGAAGAAATACAATAAACACAGTTAATATTTTAGATAAATTCTTTTGAAGGTAGAGGGTTGCTTGATGAAAGGCATGAATCCATTTTCTCCCGTCCCCAGCAATAGATGAATAGCATCACAGACTGGGCCTGGTAAGGGTGGGTCAGGGAATACCAGCAATTAAGAGGTGATCCCATGCTCTTCAAAACCTCATGATCAGAGGCCTTGCTGTCGGGTGTAGTTTATCGTCTTACACTGGACACGGATGTAGTTTATGTTATCCAGGACGCGTATGTAGTTTACCGTCTTACCCAGGACGCGGACGTAGTTTATCGTCTTACACAGAATGCGGATGTAGTTTATTGCCTTGCACAAGATGCGGATGTAGTTTATCGTCTTACCCAGGATGCGGATGCAATTTATCGTCTTACCCTGGACGCGAATGTATTTTATCGTCTTAACCAGGACGTAGTTCACCGTCTTACCCTGGACACGGATGTAATTTATCGCCTTACGCAGGACGCGGACGTAGATTATCGTCTTACTCAGGATGATGATGTAGTTTATTGCCTTGCACAAGATGCGGATGTAGTTTATCATCTTACCCAGGACGCGGACGTAGTTTATCGTCTTACCCTGGACGGAGGAAATATGTAGTAAAGAGGGATTGGTGCCTAAATACAGAGCATTATAGTAGGGAAATAAAAAATTAAAAAAAAACAATTCATGGATTCAAAAAAATAATCCTAAAATATATTAATAAACATGTTTGCTTCATTCTTCTAGTGTTTTATTGGTGTAGTTATACAAGAAATAAATGAACTGCATTGCTTGAAGTTGTTAAATTCTCATACCCAATCCGAGGTTGCAGTTTCTAAAATGATAAAGTGCGTTTACATGCCGCGAATATATTGCGAGTTGCGAGGGGTAAAAATTCGTGTTATGGTTTTTTGTTGGCGTTTAAAGGAAGGAGTCTTTCAAAAACCGTGTCGCTTGTAATTCTAAGCTAAGGGGGCGGGTAATCAGTCAATTTATTCTAATTGAATAAAAGAAGCAGGTGCTCATCTCTGCGCCGTGGCACTTGGCTCGTTTAACGCGTTGAAAATTATTACAATAGGAGTCACCGTCAACACTGCATATTAACAGTTTTTTTTTTTAATTTTGAGAATTATTTTAAAAAAAACAACTAAAGAATGTAATAGAAGAAATGTACTATTAAATGTACACGTTGTTTCACATATCTACAGATTATATTAATATATGTCAAGGGTTCCTCGGCGTGGTGTAATGGTTAGCAAGTTTGTCTCGCTAGATCAATTAAGACTGAAAATTGAGTTCGGTCCTCACTAGGTACCCCATACGTTCGGCCTTGTGCCACATCTCAGCTACGTTTAGAAAATAATTATTAATACATGTTTATATTTCTGAAAGGAGATGTCCTGATTATTTGAACTATTTACATAGTTCGGTCTGTTATCTGTTTCGGCCGTTTTACGCTCCGGCCTTCTTCAGGTGATGTTGGAATTTCGAACTTTTATTTCATCCCTAGGGTATTTCTATGTGCCATGCCTTTTATGGATATCTCAATTTCAGTTATTTCACTTTAGTAACTCATCTCTCAAGTTTTTTTCACCCCTGCTGTGACCAAGTATTGACCTCACAACTCTTTGGGTCAAATATTTACATTATTCGGACTATTGTCCTCATCTTTGTCGCCATATTTATCACAACGTTTCGGCCGTTGTACGCTCCGGTCTTCTTCAAGTGGTTGGAATGTCAAACTGAACCCTTTATTTCGCTCACTGGGGTAGTTCTAGTTCCACGTGCCATGTTTAATGGATGTCAGTTATCAGTTATCTCCTGTTAATTTCCCTCTGAAAGTTCTCCATTGCCTTAACCGGGTATTGAACTCACACTCTTTGGGTCCTGTCACTGGATCTAACCAACGCCTTTATTCACTGTGTCCTGTGTCCTTGAGGGTTTTTTTTTAAATGGTATTTTCAGGTAAGGGAATATAACGAATTCAACGGGAATTTGAACTCGGCTCTCCGATGAACAATTCCGAGCCATTATCCATTACACCCTCCGCCCAACCAAGCTTGCAGTAGCTGATTTTCCCAAACGGTCACCCATCACGGTACTAACGAGGCTCGACGTTGCTTAACTTCGGTGATCGTACGGGAACCAATGTTTCAACGTACTTTGGCCGTAAGCCAGCAACAGCAAAAATAACAGTTTGTCTGTTTTTCTGAACCAGCCATAATTCACCTAACCTTGCACCAACATTATCTTTCTTATCTCGATCAATATCTTCGTATCTCTGTGTATATATATATATATATATATATATATATATATATATATATATATATATATATATATATATATATATATATATATATATATATATATATATATATATATATATCTCTCTCTCTCTCTCTTCCACATTATCGTAGTTCCTCTATCTCACTTTTCCCCTCAGTACGCTAGATTCACCGTTTCTTTTCATCCTTACTATTTTTAACATCAATCTTCTGGCATGTCTTCAGGTCATTTTATCACACTTTATTCTTTATCATAAGGCAGACTTGCTAACTGCTACCTTCGTGTGACCTTCCCGACATTCTAACCACTTCCTTTTTCGCCTTACTTTATTTTTTTTGTTTGCTGCTTTGTGTCTCGCAAATGTTTTTACCCAACCCAAGCAGATAAAAACAAAAAACAAAAAAACACGTTAACAAACATGTCCGCCACCATTTTGTCGCAGTTACTTATTCCCGTCACTTCTTCATGCTTACTTGCCTTTTCCTTGGCATCCGACGTAGTTTCGTCTCAAGTGTTCTTCAATTTTACTATTATCTATGACATTTACCACAATCCTCAAACCTCGAGATTAACGACAAAAAGCAACTCAAATTGAAAGTCATGCACTTGTGAAACCTGAATTTAATCTGTTCTCATTTGCCGTAGATATTGACGGGAGTCAATCAAGCAAAATGGCAAAATAGTACACTAACCAGTGAGGATCGAACTCACTAAACTAGCAAAGTTTTGAAAGAAGTACTTGAAAATAATCGCTGTAAATTCTTGACCCCACGTAAACATAGAATCATGGCTTAGAACACAAGTAAAAAAAAAATCAGGCAATCAAGTGTTAATCAACTCCCGAGAATTCCAACGAAAACCTCATACAACCTAGAGATTTCTCAGGTTTTACTTAATCTGGCAAATGTGTGATTAATTCGTCCGGTAGTTTTTATAATTCGAGATAATGGTGTCAGCTCTAGCCGCCATTACTTTTTTTTCAAAATAGGTTAGATATTATTTGAATATATTTTCTGCATAGTCCTTTCTTCTTCCTTTCCCGAATAACTTTTGTAGTAGCTATTTCAGTTTTATTTGAGTCTACAGCCAGCGCAGTGTAGTCTACGAGGAATATGTCGGTAAGAAATCCTTTTAAGTCTTCTGATTCCCTTGGAATCGTCCTGATGAGAAGTTTAAATTAATCCGGTGAGAGTTCAAATAATTCTTTCTCCGCAAACATTTTGTCCTAATAGAGGTTACGGATTATTTGAATATATTTTCTGTATAGATCAGTCATTCCTAATATTTCATTAGTTTTCTGAGTGCTGCAGAATGTATGTGCCGTGTGCCTTCAGGACGTGGACGACCATGAATCTCCACAATTTCCCATCTTTGCAGTTCAAAATATTGTTTGTCGCCTTACTCTATGATCTCAGTCCCTGTTCCCCTGGCATTTACACAAGTTCGTTAGGTAGGTTACTCACTGTTTCCCTCATCAGTAAGTTCTGCGTATGTAGTTTTCTAAAACCCGTCATTATTTAATCTATAACGCATAGGTATAGATCTTTCTGCACTTATATTGATCACTTTGATAGCATTCTGACTGCATTTCTTTTCCTAGTGTCAGGAACAAAATGACATATTTCTAGCCGTATTTCTGATCTAATTTTGCTCTATTCATGAGAATACTGATCGATCGTTCATCTGTATAGTTCATCAAGGTGATTGATCGACGTTACCTGTATTCGTTCCCTCCCTTGTCATATATTTCATTTGTCACTTCGATAAATCCATCAACCTCTAAATCGTCTTACAGTAGATAAGCAGGAAGAAAAAACAACTTGTTTAAACAGATTTTCGGCGGGAAAGAGCCGAGTATAAAAAATTATATCAAACCAAAATCATTATTAACAGGAAAGATTGGAGGACATATTTATATATAATTATATACTCGTTCTATACCTGACATAATTAGGAAAGATGATAACGTGAAAATATTGCTTACCTGTAAACAGTAAAATAAGTTCATTGCAACAATTTCTAGAAAATGTTTCGGCCGAAAAATACACATTTGACCTAATATTTTTAAATTTCCGATTTAAATTCTAGGAACTGATGTAAATTTGATTTCAAATCAATATTAATTAAATCCTACAGACACCTAAGAGCGATGGAGAATCGTGGATCAGCATATCCATCCCACAAAATGTTTAATATCTAAAAAAACCTTTAAACTAACTCAGTTTCTTTTTTCTAGGTTTCCAGATAAGGCATTTAACCATCTTGACACCATCTGTCATAAGAATCATTGAAAAACACTTTCAGTTATTCAGCTAAAAACAGAACCGGTTAAAATCGTTTTGTGTCAGCCCCACTGTCTTCACAACTGAACAATGGTGAGAGGAAAAAGATCATTCAGGCCTTCAGTAATGGTACAAACATTCATACTCTGACTTCCATCTTCAAAGTCAATTCAAGAACCATCAAGAGAATGGTGAATAAGTTTAAAAAAGAGGGAACAGTAGGGAGGAAAACTGGATCAGAAGGTTGCAGCAATAAGTGGGCTCATCATTTCAACTTCAGGCTAAAGAGATCAATTAGAAAAGATCCAACTTAATCCATAAGACATTTGGTACGTAAGAGAGAAGTTTCAGGTATAACAGTCCAAAGAACAGTGTAAAAAGACTTTAAAATGAAATCGTACGTGAAACCTCTGAGGCAAATTCTTAGTCCAGGAGAGAAAGTTAGAAGATTAGAAGATAATCTTGAATAAGTTTGAAAATGATTCTGGATTAATACAGGCATATATATATATATATATATATATATATATATATATATATATATATTAATGAAAGCCACGTATACTTTCTTAATATGGAAAAAGTTTCAAATTAAAAAAATTATAATGTTTTATTTTATGAAAGTATTTATTTATTTATATATATTTGATATTTCAAATTGTCCTCAATTTTTTCATCAGAAATAACTGTTTTGACAAATAAATTAAAATTACTGTTTGTTGAGGAAGCGTCCTTCGCAAGACGCGGACGTCACGTGATATGGAACGTCACTGTTCGGATATTCTAACTTAAATCTAACTGTCATAAATATTTTAAAAATATTTTTTACTATATCTAAAGAAATTGCTTAGCTATTGAAATATTTATAAAGATTTAAAACACCTAAGTCCCTATTCAACCCTAATTTAGTATTTAATTTTAAAATCCAATATGTTTCTTTTTTCTGCGTGTGAATGTGGAAGTAAAATCGGAATCTATTAATAAACATTTGCAGTTTTCTAATGTGGTCCTGATTGATTGTAGTGTTTAAATGGGGAATAAGGGTTGTTTTGAAATTGTTTGTTTATGGTTATTAAAACGAAATCTAAAATTGTTTCCAGACTTATATCCACTATTAGAACAAAGTTGCAGAATAAATAAAATTACGTTATGGGTACAGGTGAGGTTAGGTGGCTGAAATTACTAAATGTTTGCAAACTAAGCAACGAGGGTTACATTTGTAATTTCCTGTTTAGTTTCTATTGTTTAGATATTTGGTAGAGGTGAGGATAGCTGAAGTTAGGTGATTGTTTCATTGCATTCATGGGTTGTTTATCGAAAATGTCTTTGATCTTGTTGTCTAATTGGAGGTTCTTGTAATCATTTTTTAAATTATGAATAAGTGTGTGGCGAAGATCATCTCAGAACCTGAACTACAACATAAAAAACCATAAAATCTCTTATTCTGAGAATAAAACAGCAACATTCTACATATATAAATCCCAAAATCATTTCAGAAAAATAACACTTTTTTCATAACATCAAATTACACAATCAAATAATGAAGAATTGAAAACCCTAAAATCATGCCACCTGGTTTATCAGGCATTGGCACCCTCACAGAACTTATATCTGGGTACATAGACAATATCCTAAAACCTTTATTGCCTGACATACCTAGTTATATTAGAGACACTACTTTCTCAGCAAATTACAAAACATTAAATTAGTCCACCATGATACAATCCTAGTAACGATGGATGTTTCGTCCCTTTACACGAACATTCCACATGTTGAAGGAAACTTTAGATATATTGATGACATTTTCTTATTATGGACTCATGGATCAGAAAAATTAAAAACCTTTTCACTTTTGCAACAATTTAACGTTACCATGGAGCACTCAACATCCATCCCTTTTTAGACGTTATGATAAAATTAAACAAACATAACTTTCTACCAGTCTATACAACAAACCCACAAACCAACATAAATTCCTGCATTTAACAGCTGTCATCCCTTTAAATTAAAAAAATCTATTGTATACAGCTCATTTCTTAGAACCAAACGCATATGCTCAGACCATTTAGATTTTTCTATACAATATTAATAACTTAACAAAACAATTCCTAAAATGCAAATACCCAATAAAAATAATAAAAGAAGCACTAAATAAAACTATCCTGATAAATCGTAACACACTTCTCACATTATGGTTTTTAACCACAATCAATATTCCACACTTATTCATAATTTAAAAATGATTACAAGAACCTCCAATTAGACAACAAGATCAAAGAAATAAACCACCCATAAATGCAATGAAACAATCACCTAACTTATCAGCTATCCTCACCTCTACCAAATATCTAAACAATAGAAACCAAACAGGAAATTACAAATGTAACAAACCTCGTTGCTTAGTTTGCAAACATTTAGTAATAGCTAATACATTTTACGTACCCAACACCAATAGGCCACCTAACCTCACCTGCGATACCCATAACGTAATCTATTATTTATTCTGCAACTTATGTTCTAATAGTGGATATATTGGTGAGTCTGGAAACAATTTTAGATTTCGTTTTAATAACCATAAACAAACAATACGTCAAAACAACCC